ATCCTGGCACGTTCAAGGCGAGGCCTTTAGTCGCTAGGCTACTGTGCTGGGCCCAGAAAAAAATTTTTTTAAATATATGTCCCACTCATCTTCCTCCATGCCTCTGTCACCCTAATCGGAGACCCCACATGAGCATGCATCCTTCTCAACTATGTAAATGCCATTAAAAATAAAATTAAAAAGACGGCCAGGCTGAGCAAGCAGCATGGGACAAGGTCCAGAGTCTCAGGAATGTTCTGGAAGCTCCTGTCTTGGAGCTAGTTTTGTAAAACTCATTCACAGGTGAGAGCCGAGGACCAGAACTCCTCCACCGCCCCACCCATCCCGCCTCGTCCCACTTCCTGAAGACAAACTCTCTATTTCTGTCTGATTCTCCTCCGAGAGCTTCTCTCTCTCTGTCACTATTTTTAACAAGATTTGTTTATTTGAACGGCCGAGTTACACAGCGAGAGGGAGACAAAGAGGGAGATCTTTTCTTGTGCAGGTTCACTCCCCAAATGGCAGCAATGGCCAGGAAAGGGCAGGCTGGACCCAGGAGCCCACAGTTCCATCAGGGTTTCCAGCGTGGGGTCGAGGGCCCAGGCACTGGGGCCATCTCCCCTCTGTTTTTGTTGTATCCAACCTGAGCCTCTCCACTAAAGTGCAGCCCAAACAACTGCTAAGCAGCCGGGTTTGTGGAGGAGGCAGGTAAACAGACCAACCGGCTGGGGCCAGCTCTCCTTTCCTTCAGAGAGTGACTCTGGGATAAAGGTTACAGAGTTGTTATAGAATGGGTGAGTTAGGTAACCAGGGGAACCAGGGAAACAGGGCAGCCGCGAGGACAATGCAGGTAGCTAGACACAAACTTCTGGGACTGAGGGTTGCTGGCTGGGCATGTTACAACTTTGTGGCCTGGCCCCCAAAGCAGGAAGCTGGCAAAGCTTTTTTTACAGAAGCATAATGAGCAAGTTAACAAACTTATACAGGCCTGAACCAAAGTGACTCCATTTTGTGACTTAATTCCACACTTTCCCAAGTGAGTTAGCAGGGAGCTGGACCAGAAGTGGAACAGCCAGGACTCAAACCATTGCCCACTTGGGGTGCAGGTACCACAGATGGTGGATCCCTTTTGTTATTTATTAGCCCATTCATTTGGGTTCTTTTCAATCTTTTATTAGTTACTGTAATTGAGATTCTGATAGCCAAACAGATACTGTGTAAATGAGCAGCTCTGGCTGAGCGCCAATAAAATCTCATTTACAAGCGATGCAGTGGGCCAAGGTCCGTGGTACACAGAGCCTGCGTTCAGCGGCGGCCCAGCCATACCAGGGAATCTGCACCGGGAGACACGAGTTTCAGGAAAGAAGCGAATCAAAGAGAGACACGCTCATGTGCATCCTGGGGGGCAGTCGTGGTGGCTCAAGGTCATGTGTCAGCCACCCCCATGCAGAAACTACACTGTGTCCTTGGCTCCTGGCTTCAGCCCGGCCCAGGGTGAAGGTCTCCCCATGTCTGCTTCTCTGCGTCTCTACCCTTCCCATGTAATGAAGATGGAGAAAATAAATTTTTAAAGCCTCAAAGATGGAACAAAGAAAGGCTATAAAACCATCATAGTCCGGGAGAAGAGTTCTAGATAATATCCGTATTATGGGACGAAATGGGACCAACAATCTTAGTATGGGGAGGAGGCATCAGCTTTTATATGTCCCTGGTGATCCCCTAGACTTACCAAAAAAATATATATATCCTCTACTAAGTCTCTAGGTTAAGAGTAATTACTGCATGAATTTTTAAACAGTATAAATTGTGCTTATTTTTCATTCATTTCTTTGAAGGGCAGAGACCACAGCCCCATGCTGTTGCTTCACTCTCTGAGGTCCCCCACTTGATGACAAGAAAACTGGTCACTTGAGCCATCCCTGCTGCTCCCCACGGCCTTCACTAGCCAGAGTGGAGTCCAGAGTACAAGTAAGTGAAAGAGACAGGGAGTGCTTACGACCTGGGAACGCAGCAGAGGACGACCCCAAGTCCTTGGGCTCCTGCGGTGACGTGGGAGACCCAGAAGCTCCTGCCTTCTGCCCTGGCCTTTGCAGCCATCTAGGGAGTGATGGGAGAGCTCTCTCTCTCTCTCTCTCTCTCTCTCTCTCTCTCTCCTAATTGTTCTCATTAAGACACAAATAGAGTGAGTGTTCCCTAGCCCAAACAGTGGCTAAGCCTTGCACACCCCCACTTCAGAGTATCCCCGCTTTCTCCCCAGCCCCCACACTGCAGACTGCATGGCATCAAGTCACTGGGTTCCTGCCGCCCTCATGGGAGACCCGGATTGAGTTCCTGGTTTCAGTCTGGCCCAGCCCAAGCCCTGGCTGCACCCGGGGAGTAAACCAGCGGATGGGACCGATCTTGCTCCCTCTCTCTCCCCATTGTCTCTTTCATCCCTCGAATAGAGACTTTTTTCTTAAAAGACAAGACAAAATTAGTGGTGGCAGAGGAAGCTGCCCCTCAGGATGTTCTGGCTGCTCTGTTTCAGACCCATCTCCCTGCACATGCGCCTGTGGGGCAGCAGATGGTGGCTGACATGTTTGGCCTCCTGCTATCCGCGGGAGAGACCTGGAAGGAGTTCCTGGCTCCTGGCTTTAGCCTGGCCGAGCTCTGCCTTTCCTGGTCATCTGTGGAGTGGACTAGCAATGGAAAATCTCTGAGTTTCAGATAAATCAATTCTTTTTTACAGATTTATTTAATTTTATTTGGAAAGGCAGATATACAGAGTGAAGAAAAGACAGAGATCTTCCATTTGCTGGTTTACTCCCCAAGTGGCCGCAACAGCCAGAGCTGAGCTAATCTGAAGCCAGGAGCCAAAAGCTTCTGGGTCTCCCACATGGGTGCCGAGTCCCAAGGCTTTGGGCCGTCCTCGACTGCTTTCCCAGGCCACAGGCAGGGAGCTGGATGGAAAGTGGAGCTGCCAGACACAAACCAGCACCATATAGGATCTTGGTGCATGCCAGGCAAAGATTTAACCACCTAGCTATCATGCCAGGCTCACATAAATCAATTCTTAAAAAGTAAAATTAAAGACACAATTAACAGAAGCCCACACAGGAGAACTCTGTGACTGAGCAGACGGAACAGAAGTTTAAGCGAAGTCTCAAAAGCAGAGAATAAACCCCAAGTTTCATAAAAATAAGTAAGACCAAATGGATTTGCACTAAAATCAAGGAGCTTTGTTGAATGAAACACACCCCGCGCAAAGAGAAAGGAGAGCAAGGAAATAGGAGGCATCGGGATGCAGAGAGACAGCAAGGGACAAGAGTCGTGTCTAACACGGAGGTGGCCTCCAGGAAGCAGACAGCGAGTCAAGAAAAACAGCCATGGATGTGAGCTCGCAGTTCCAGAAGGGGAAAGTGAAGTGTGTGTGTATGTGTGTGTGCTGGGGGAGCTGCTGGGTGTGTGTGTGTGTGTGTGTGTGTGTGTGTGTGTGTGCTGGGGGAGCTGCTGTGTGTGTGTGTGTGTGCGCTGAGGGAACAGCTGTGTGTGTGCTACCTCTCCTGCAGGGCCACCAGTCTCCACCTTGGAAATCCGAAGTCCCGTACTCGGGAGACTGTGGCTCCCGCCCGGGGTATGCATCTCACAGACCCACACCGCCTGCAGAGGTGAGAGAAGACAGAAATATAAGTGGGAGGCAGTGACAGAAACAGTGAGCCCAACCAAGAGGGCAAGAGAGATCCTGTCCCAGGCAGCCAGGAAAGGGGGCACAGCTGAGGACAACATGAACCCCTGGCCACCTCCAACACACGCAGGTGCACACACACACACATATCCGAGCTCTCAGCACGCGCAGGCAGAACAGCCCATGCCTAGGCTGTGACTTCATGGTGGAAGGCAGGTGACGACATGCCTGCCGTGATCCCAGGTCTGCAGGGCACAGGGACAGTAGGGGTGGGGACTGCACCTGCCCAAGCAGTGCCAGCTGGGAGTGGCGTCAGACTCCTGGAGTGGAGGAGGTCAGAGGAGGCCAGAGAGCAGAGCTGGGTGGTGGCAGCAAAGGAGGGGCATGGGTGGCTGGCGCCGGGCCAGAACCCCAGCAGCTTGGCTAGCCCGGCCTCATGCTGCAAGCTGGGGAGGAGACCCCTGGGAATGGGACCCTTCACCAGACAGGCTGCCCCGGTGCACTGGGCATGTGATGGCATCCGGGAGTGAGCAGGTGACTTGCGATCGCGTGGGAAAGCAGAGGAGTGAGCAGTTGTGGGTGGCTTGCACAGCCGGGTAGCATTGGGCCCTGCCCCACCCCCCTGCGCATGCACCTGCTCTAGCTTTTTCTTTCTTCCACATGTGTAACTCGCAAGGATGGCAGAAAGCAAATTCCAAGTTGCTTTAAGGTCATGTCTAGGTCACATGAGCAAACCCACTCTTGTGAAACAAAGACATTTTGTGTCCAGGAATTAGAGGGCTTCGCCGGTCCCGCACGAAAGGGGCTGGGGGCGGTGGCGGGAGCGAGAGACCACTTAAGCCCACACCCGGAGCTTGTTGCTCGACCCGGGCAGGGCACAGATGGCACCTGGCTCGGGCCCTGGTGGGCAGAACCTCACCCGAGGGTCTCTGAGCCAAGCCTGTCCCTGCCAGGCCAGTCCTGGAGGCTTCCACCCTGCGGAGCGTGGAGGGCGCGCCCCTTCGGGGTGCAGGGCCAATCCCCCCACCCCACCCAGCGCCTCCTCCCGGTGCAGGGCGTGTGTCCAGTCGGAACTCGGGGTGGGGGCGTTCCTGGCCACTCCTCGACCCTGCTGTTCCCCCTCCATGATTCTTCTGCTTCCTGGGGGAACCTCGCCCATCCCGCAGGCGCCTGGCTCTCTGGCCCCCACAAAGGCGCCTGCGCAGCACGCGCTGCACCCCACCCCACCCCACCCCTCCCATCCCCCGCCTGGTGCCCGGCGCCGGCGGCCAGGGCTGCAGTGTCCAACCGCGAGGCCCTACGGGGTCTCTGGGCGGGCAGTGACTCAGCACGGAGGGGCGGGCGCGGCGGGGCGGGCCTGGGCGGGCAGACCCTAATAAGGCTTAGGGCCACTGGGCCTGCGCTGGAGTGCCGCCTCCGTCTACGCAGCAACCTGCGAGTTTGCACCCAGGAGCACGCTGCAAGTAGTGAGTTCGACCGCTTGGGCTCCGGGGGGGATTCCGAGTGCGGGGATGGGGTGCGAAGGATCGAGCTGGGTGCTCCCTGGGGGTGGCAGCGCTTAGAGCAGCGATGGGAGCCGGGGACGCGCAGCTGCCATGGGTTTCCTGCCTCCACGTCCCCTAACCGACTCCCTTTCGCGCCCCCAGTGCCTCCCTACACCATCGTCTACTTCCCCGTGCAAGGTAAGAGCCTGGGACGGGACGGGAGGGGATGCAGGGGGCTCCTGCAGTGGGGAGACCCCAGCCCCAGCCCTGTTTCCCAGGGACCTCCTTCCTGCCTGCCTTTTCCTCTGGCTGGCTCCCTGGCTGGTCCCCCTGCCCCCACCCCCAGCCGTGCACCCCATGCTGTTCCCTCGGCCCCCAGGGCGCTGTGAGATGATGCGCATGCTGCTGGCTGACCAGGGCCAGACGTGGCAGGAGGAGGTCATCAACCTGGAGACCTGGTCCCAGAGCCCCCTGAAAAGCTCCTGTGTGAGTGACAGCGTCCAGCGGGGAGGGGCGGGGGAGGGGCGGGGCGGGTAGCTGAGCTTAGCACCCCACTCTGAGCCATGCTGTCCCCCACAGCTGAGTGACAGCGTCCAGCGGGGAGGGGCGGGGCGGGTAGCTGAGCTTAGCACCCCTCTCTGAGCCATGCTGTCCCCCACAGCTGTTCGGGCAGCTTCCTAAGTTTCAGGACGGAGACCTCACCCTGTACCAGTCCAATGCCATCCTGAGGCACCTGGGCCGCACCCTGGGTGAGTCCCGAGCCGGGCGGGGCGGGGGAGGCGGGCAGTGACCACCCATGCTGACCTTACCCCGGCCAACCTCCCCAAGTGTAGGAAGTGAGATGTTCGGGTGCCATGTCCAGCCCCCCGGACCCTCACTCCGAGCTCTGGGCAGCTCAGCATGTCAGGCTCAGCCCCGCTACCCTGCCCCTGGTTGTGGCCACTCCCAGCCACGTGGCCGCCAGCACTTGTGCCGAGGTGCTGTGCCGGTCAGGTGCCAGTCACACCATTCATTCCGCTCACACCAGGGATCTATGGAAAGGACCAGCGTGAGGCCTCCCTGCTGGACATGGTGAACGACGGCGTGGAGGACCTGCGCATGAAATACATCACCCTCATCTACACCAACTACGTGAGTGACCCTGGGGAAAGATCCGGAAGAGAGGCAGAGGACCCCAGCTGCTGACGGGGCAGGCGGCAGTGACAGCAGCTGTGTGTTTCCTGCAGGACGCGGGCAAGGACAGCTACGTGAAGGCGCTGCCCGGGCACCTCAAGCCTTTCGAGACTCTGCTGTCCCAGAACCAGGGTGGCAAGTCTTTCATCGTGGGCGACCAGGTGAGCCCCTGGTGGACTCGCTGTGGCAGGGGTGGGGGTGAGGAAGGGGTTCAGGCTTCCACCCCACCACCTCTGGCCACTGAGTCCCCCTTCCCTGTCCCTACAGATCTCCTTCGCCGACTACAACCTGCTGGACTTGTTGCTGACCCATCAGGTCCTGGCCCCCAGCTGCCTGGATGCCTTCCCTCTACTCAAGGCCTATGTGGCCCGCCTTGTGGCTCGCCCCAAAATCAAAGCCTTCCTGGCCTCCCCCGACCATGTCAACCGCCCCATTAATGCCAACGGGAAGAAGTGAGAGTGCCTGGCTCATTCCCCTCCATCCCTACCCCTACCCCAGGACCAATAAAATTTTGTAAGGAAAAGCTGTGTCCCAGGGATTATATGTTTCCTGGGGAGGAAGCTCCGGGCTCTTGAGGGCTTAGGAAACTCGGATCCCAAACCCATACCACCCTGGCTGGCTTGGTGTGTCCTGGGCACCAGAGCCACGGCCGGCCAGTGTGTCCTGCTGATGTGGAAAAGGCGTGCGTCTGCCACCCTGGAGGCGGTGTGTGGAGGACAGTTGGATGGTTCTCTCACAGCTCAGCCCACCCACCGTGAGGGCCACCCTCCTGACCCAGCACCTCCTTCTTCCTGGGACACTGTATCCCCTCTGCAGGTTCAGGCCCCAAATCCCTGCCACACCCTCCCAGGACTGGGCCTTTACATTTAATGGGTGGTAGGGAACTCAGGCTGCTTCAACTGCAAATAATCAGCCAGAGAGCACCCGGGCAGGGCTTCTCCACACCCTCACATACCCCCGCCACACACCAGGCTGCACAACAGTCAGTGCCAGGGCCACTTGGGACCCCGGGGAGAGAGTTCAGGATGCAGCTGGTGGGACCCAGCGATGCCTGTGTATCCCAGCAGGGGCCCACCCACTGCCTGCACACCTTGGCAGGAGAAAAGAGCTGCCTCGGTGCCACTCAGATGTTGGCACAACCCGCATTTACATCCATTGGTCGAGGGGAGGGAAGCTGGGGTTTGAGGAGCTGGTGGGGGAGTTGTGGGCATCTGTGCTTTGGAATCAAGAAGTGCAGGGTTAGTGAGAACAAAGTGTTTTCAGGAAGCTGACTCCCCTCTCCCGTGCTCCTGGGCCCCTGAGCAAGGGGAGCAACACCTGTCCATCAGTGGAGGTCACGTCCTTGGAGCCAGGCAGGATACACTGCCCGGAAGGCCAGTATCCTAGAACACAGTGCTAGGTCGAGTCCAGGCTGCTCCACTTCCCATCCAGCTCCCTGCTGCTGTGCCTGGGAAAGCAGCAGAGGACGGCCCAGGGCTTGTGCCCCTGCAGCCCATGGCAGACCTGGAAGAGGCTCCTGGCTCTTGGCATCTCTCTGGCCCAGCCCTGGCTGTTGTAGCCATGGAAGACTCTCTCTCTCTGCCCTCCTCTCCCTTTCTGTAACTTTGACTTGCAAATAAATCTATTTTAAAAAAATTATTATGGCTGGGTGGCTTTTAAAAATGTCTATATTTATTTACTAGGCAAAGCGACAGAGAGGCTGATGTTGTCACAGGTGGAGCCTTTAGTTGCTGTGCCACACAACGCCAGCCCCTGTAACGGCTCTTCCACACAGCTGTCCACTCGGCTCCCAGTCCTGTCTGTCCAAGCCAGGAGTGGGAAGCATCGAGATGCCTGCAGGAACGGGGCAAGCCTTGTTCTATCAACAGGAATTTGAGGCTCTGCCTTGTATCTGGAATATTCTTCCTCTCGGTCTCTCCTCCTCTCCGTATGTCTGACTCACAAGAAAATAAACCTTGAATGAGCGTGACCGAGGGGACGTGGGGCTGAGGTGGTTCCGGCACTGGACAGGACCGTGTGACCGTGTCTGCACCGATCAGGAACTCGCCAAGGGCCTTCGGGAGGGGCCGTGCACGCTCACCAAGCCGGGGAACTCGTCCTGCTCTGGGGGCCTTCTCCCCACCCCCACCCAGCGAGGGAGCGGCTACTGGGTTCTCTGTTACAAACCCTGGATGATTGGAACGCGCCCAAGTGCTTTCCTCTACCAGATCTGGGGTCAGATGTGGAGTCCAGGAGAGACACCCACTCCCACCCGGGGATGACCTATGACGTCTGGGAACTAAAAACAGACACACGGGCCCGCTGACTCACCCATTCTTACTGCGCATACCGTCTTCTCAGGAAATCCCCCCTTGAACATCAACTCCACAGCTTGGTTGGGGGAGGGGAAGGCGGGGATTCTGAGTTTATATGACCAGTTTTTATCTGGGCTGTATTAGAAAGTCCGAACGAGATTATACAGGGAGGCTGGTGTTGGGGCACAGCTCCTTCAGCCACCGCCTCCAACTCCCTCATCCCGGTGGAGCCAGGTCAAGTTCCAGCTGCTCCACTTACCATCCAGATCCCTGTTAATGTTCCTGGGAAAGCAATGGAGGATGGGCCAAGGGCTTAGACCCCTGCATCCATGTGGGAAACCAGGATGGCGTTCCAGGCTCCTGGCTTCAGCTTGGCACAGCCCAGGCCATTGTGGCCATTCAGGGACTGAAGCAGCAGGCAGAAGACCTCTTTCTCTCCCATCCCCCAAGCCACTCCAACCAGGTCACTCCAACCAGGCTGCAGCTCCTCTGGTTTGCGTGGGGGCTGAGTGTGTGGTGGGCAGGATAGGCCTGGACGCCAACACCCATTAGTTTGCATAGAACACAGGGCTGGAGACAGACGTGACCCAGCAATTGCAACTAACAGTGTGTGCGTAGGCTGCTAAAGCGGACCATGCCAGACCTTGTATTGACAAGTACACACAAGAATCAGGTCTGGGATCACTTCAGATGAAGTTTCTTTGGTGATCCCCCCCCCCCCACCCCCAATTGAACCTCTGGACTCTGAACTCCAACCGTGGAGGAAATTGCAGGTTCATGGCCTCACCGTGGAATGCATGTGTCAGAGTTGGGCCTCCTCAGACAGAGCAGTGGACAGCATATCACATACACATGGAGAATATGGCAGTCTATTGGAGCCTGCAGAGGACACCTGGACCATAACAGAGGATGGAGGACAGAGCAAGTCAATCAACTACCCTAGCCAAGAGTTGACAGTGAATAGCTGGGCACATGGAGACGCTAAGGTGGATTTGGCAATCAGTGGATTCTGGAGAGATTTCATCGGGATTGGAGTGGCGGGATCAACAGCAATCCAGAACTGTTGAACTATGAAAACCTCTTGAGCAGGACCCTCGGAGCAAGCTCCACATCGGGGCCCGGGGTGGCTGGGAGGCTGGGTGGGGCTTTTCCCCGTAGCTCCCCATCTCCCCAGACGCAGGAAGGAACAAAGAGAATAAAGAAACAATGGTCTTACACGCTTTGCTCTTGCCCTTGACTCTGCACTCTAATCAACTATGAAAAAAAATCATTAAAAAATAAAAATAAATAAATAAATAAAGAGAAAGGGCTTAGTTCCCGGGGAGCGTAAGGTTCAGGGAGAGAAAACAACAGCTTGGTTTACACCCAGGGAATCCAGGGTGTAATTTGTGCTTTTTTAGAGAACTGGTAAATCTAGCCAAAAGCTATTTCGAATTTTGGTGTCCACGTGGGCAGGTTTACACTCGAACACAGTCGCTCGTCTGTGGGATGCACCTGGTCTCTCTTGATCATCGCTCAGATTAGCCTGCTGGGATCCCCAACGCTCTGCCTTCCTCTCCATCTTTAGGCTGCAAGCTTTGTCATGGGGGCCCTACCCCTACCCCTGGATCCCCCACCCACCCAGGGAAAAAAGGAAAAAAAAATTGGCTGAGTACCCTTGGATCAAGCAGCTCTACTCCGCTCCTTTGATCGCTGTCATGGCCAGGCCCACTCAGCAGTGAGGGGCCTGCCTAGCCGGCCTAGGACACGCCTTGTCAGGGCCGGCCCTTGGCCAGTGGGTCATGGAGTCTCACCTCGCAGTTCCCGGGGTGATTCTTGTCTTGGGTTCCTAACACAGACCCCAGGAAAGCAGCAGAGGTCCCGTTGCCCAACCCACCTGAGTTGAGCTCTAACTCCTGCTTTTGCCCCCCGCCGTGCACCCGCCTCAACTATTGCAAGCAGTTAGGGGTAACCCAAAAAATGGGAGTTCTCTCTCCTTCTCCAACAAGGTCAAATGTTTCAAAATTACTACTAAAAATATACTGTAAAAAGACAAAAATAATCAACATTTTTGTAAAGATATATATATGTATATGCTCATATATATAAAGTTATTTTTTTAATTGCAAAGGTAGATTTACAAAGAGAAGGCACTGGAGTGAATGACCTTGCATTTACAGCCCCTGCAAGACAATCCACCTGCGGGGTAACCTTGGGACTTGTAACAATCCACTCTGGGACCACGTAGGTTTCCTAGAAATATGAGGTTCTGCCTCCAATGATGCTGCTCAGCCAGATTAGGAACTTTCAACGGGGCAGGTGTTTGATGGGGGTGGGACTCGTGGGTCCCCTTCCATAGTGCCTGCATTCAAGGGCCAGGTGCGCTCCAATCCCAGTTTCCCACCAGTGCAGGCACTGGGAGGCAGTGGTGATTGCTCCTGTGGTTGTGGTGGAGCCCATGGTTGTGTGCCCAACCCTAAGCTTTGGCCCTTCCCCAGGCCCAACTGTCCTTTCTCTCCCTCTCTCTAAAAAAAACAAACAAAAAAACAAACAAACAAAAACGACCCCTCAATTTTAAAAAAAAAACTATTCAAATTGTCTTGGGATTAAACTATTCCTAAAACTTTCAGAAATCTATAAACTGACCCTAAATGGTGTTTATAATTTCATGTGATTTAGGTTCAGTCTTTGGTAAATAAATAAAGCTATTCTTCTTTTTTAAAGATTTATTTATTTTTATTGGAAAGTCAGATATTCAGACAGGAGGAGAGACAGAGAGGAAGATCTTCTGTCCAATGATTCACTCCCCAAGCGGCCGCAATGGCTGGAGCTGAGCCAATCTGAAGCCAGGAGCCAGGAACTTCTTCTGGGTGTCCCATGTGGGTGCAGGGTCCCAAGGATTGGGCTGTCCTCCCACTGCTTTCCCAGGCCACAAGCAGGGAACTGAATGGGAAGTGGAGCTGCCAGTATTAGAAGCAATGCCCATATGGGATCCCGGGCATGCAAGGCGAGGACTTTAACCACTACACTATCATGCCAGGCCCAATAAAACTATTCTTAACTTGGTGATAAAGAATTTGTCACGACTGTCACTTTTCCCTGGGTTGCTGGCCAGGCAGATTTCTGTTGTCGTTGGTAAATATTAAGACCATAAATCTATAAGCCCCACCTAGAAACACAAAGGGCAATGCAGTTGAATTGCTAGAAGGAAAAATAAGAATGTCTAAATTTTTTTTTTTTTAGTTTCTGT